ATAGCAGCAAAGGAACCTTTTCAGGTGGAAGTGGTTGAAGGAAAGAAATATTCTTGGTGCAAATGTGGACTGAGTAAAAAACAGGTATGAACTAGAAAATGATATCCATGGCAACCACTTGATAATTGACCACATGTACTTATCACCATTTAGTCAAAAATCATTTGGGGAAGTGTCCGTCTTATAGAGATTCAAAGAAAACTGACTTAAGAACGGTTTTTAAGAGAGGGTAATGGGTACCAAATGAGTCAATTCCTGTGCTTGGAAGCGTATGAAACAGAACACTAGAACTACGTGGAGCCAATCAGCTTCAATTCAATTAGGCTATCTCTGGTGAAAATGATTTTTATTAGAATAAGAAATCATTTTCATATCAATGGCTTCGCACTTAGGCTCACATTGAAACAGAGGCTAAGGCAACTCAGAAATGAATATTTTTAATTAAAAAAGGGATGAAAGCCTCTGCGGGTTAAGTGTTGCTTATTGCTTCTTTATTCATTACGGGAAAACAAAAGGCTACAAGTATATAGAGTGCAAAATTTTATCATGGTCAAATATAAAAAAGTTTGCAATATCCAGTACTTAATTGATTTACCTACTTCTGTTTTCTGTTAGGTAATGCTTTTACACTGATGTAAACGATCCTTAAGTTTTTCCCATCTAGTTTAAATTTTGTTAACTTGAAATTACTGTACATGTGTACATGTACTAATAAAACAAATCAAAATGTAATGGTTGTTTCAAGAGAATGGAAACTAATCGAAATTACTGTCAAAAGTATGTTTTCAAACAAAGACATACATGTACAATTTGTGACCACATGTTACCGTCCTTAAAATTCCACCTGAATGTTACATTTACATGGAACATCGCATGCAGTGAGCGTTGATCATTTTTATATTTTAGCCATTCTGTGATGGTAGACACAAAGCCACTCCAATCAGGCCAATCCGATTCGTTGCCGAGCAGAGTAGTACAGAGGTATTCCTTTGTGGCTGTAAGCAAACAGGCTCCCCGCCGTACTGTGATGGTACACACGCTACTGAGAGTGTGCAGTCTGCAGATATACATACATGAAAAATCTTTTTATCGATTGAATGTGGATTCTACAATCCTTAAAGAGACAAGTGCTTCTGTCTGAAAAACTGGAGAACTGCATCGTCCTTTTTCCCGTTCTTGGGACTAAAAAACGTAATGTATCCAGTCTCTGGAATTCATTAGACTAGCTAATTTATCAGGAGAGATTATGACAAATTAATGAATAAAGAGATCTTCCTGAAACAGGTGCTGCGATGTGAAAAGTAAAACCCTCAGGTTTGTTGTGAGCACGTTCATTAAAACTGCAATTATTGTATAAGCGATGTCCTCGATAAAATGTAACAGTTTGTCAGTATTGAAAGGTGAACAATTGCTTAATACAGAACTTAGGGTATCTTAGGGCTCGAAAAAAGCTCCGTTCAGTATTCCGGGGCAAGTAGATTTTCTATCATTTTCTTGCTGGCCAAGTAACTTTTAATGCTTACTCGCCCAACGGGCAAGAATCCTAACAACTCATCCTCTTTAGAACAAAATCGTTAACTTTGACGAGTAAGAAGTGGCCACAGACAAGCAAACTGTGAGAGTTGGCTTGCCCAAAGGCCATGCTTCGTACTGTACACATTCTTGAGAGTCTTGTCTTAAAAGTTGCTTCCGCGAAGTTTTCTTTTTAGAAATAAATGGATCAGGAATTACGTGTAGCTAAAGCTACTCGCAGTCAGTGTTTACAAGTTAGAGGCCTCTGAATGTCCATCAATAATCCAAGAAACAATCCAAATTTTGCCCTCAATCAAATTACACTGGGAGCAGGCTCTTCTTTACTTATTTATTTACTGATTTTTTGCAAAGTTACTCCATGCATAACTCATGCACTTGAGCGAGCGAGCGTCGAAGCCGTAAGCCGCAATAAACGAGGGCGTTAGCGTCTCGTCTTAATCCCCTATTGTAATGTCGTTGTTTGCAATCGCGCTGGGTAAGATATTAAGAACTGGGAGGATTTTAAGAGAAAAGGCGGACTGCTAGCAGTCTTTCTACAATCCAATGCTTAAGGGTGACAAAGCAAATACTGAGGGAGTCTTAATTTTTTCATTATTTTTCTCAAATGTTTGCGGGTTAGTATCTGCGCAAGCGCCGAGCGACGACGCCGGCCGGATAGAGACGCGAAAAGCAAGGGCAACAGCCCGAAGCGAAATTTTGCGCCTTAAATGTGAAACTTAGAAAATCATAATAGCAACGGCATGCGTAGCAACCAGCGGGCAAACGGTCACAGGTCATCATCCCGTTTGCCTTCAAACGTCCAGTTCTAATTGTTGATTAGATACCTCTGTAAGGAGGGTACCAAGGTTCAACTGGTCCTGGGCTAATAGTGCATACTCTGTATTAGGGAGGATAGCTATAGCTAGAACTAGTAGGGCTCTTTGGGTCTTGCGAAGCCATAACAACCGCGCCTTCGGTGACGGGAATGATGTGTAATCTGGATAGTGATTTATCCGGCGGAGGACAGCGCTATCCACCCTTTGAACAACAAAGGCCGGCCTTGTAATAAGTTTTAAGTCGAGATTTTCAAGAAGTTACTGGGTCTATGAACTGTGCGCGGTTTGAACCCAAGAGTCATTTCAAAGTAGGTTGAGTTTGATCGTCCAGGTGAACGTAGTCCTGAATAGGACTGTTGTGGTTAATAGTGACTGACGTTTCGACAACCTCTGCGGTAGTCATCTTCAGAGTCAAAGTGAGTTGTATCACGTCAGTTGATGGTATTATACTCTGGTTGTTGGTCTGATTGGTCAATTATGTTGCGATGTTATTGGTCGTCTGTCAGTTAAGCCGTGATGTTATTGGCTATGAAGACTCGTAATCAGTAATTGGTGCGTTTCGATCAGTCTATTGTCACAGTTAAACAGTCGTCTGTTGTTAGCCAAATTGTCAGTTCTCCAGTCGTTCTCTCGTAGTTAGTTTTGCTTGATCTCGTCAATAAGTCGTTTGTACGGCGCTGGTAACTGTTGGCTACGATTCAGTGGCGTTTTACTGGCTCTATATATGTTGTTAATCCCCCTTCGCCTAGCCAGTGTTAATGGCAGCAGACTGTGACAAAACTTCCCAGAAACATCCGACATTGAATAAGGCAGTCCTTGTTCAATAAGGAAAGTGCACACACACTTTTAAAACTTATAACATCGGCGAAAAACATTTATACTTTAAATTGTGCAATAAGCCTTTCTGTTAATATTTTCTTAGTCCATTATATTAAAAAATATCTTATATAATTATTAAAATTACAATCGCCGCCGCATATGAAGCGTAAAAAATTTCACTCTTGCTATGAAAGTTAAATTAAAAAAAAAAAGCTAAAAGCGTTTCTGAAAACGGGAACATTTTCGAAACCTTTTAAATAATCCTATTTAGCGTTTCCTCAGGAAACGTATTGCCCAGTCTAGTAACACTACCATACTACTTAATATCTAGCCTGTGTACTAACGTCCCCCCTCCCTAAGGAAAAATCGGGAGAGGAGACGTCTGTGAATCGCCGACGATAATCGTGTTCCCGTTTCCCCGGAATGTTGGGGACAGCCTCTGATTGGTTGTAATGTTAATGCCATGACGCAAATAATTTCCGGTGTTGTGATTGTTGAATGAACCTCAGAATAGATTCCCCGAGGACAAGCTCAGCCTTTGTGGAAATTCATATTTGTTTACCGGTATCTGTATTTCGGCTTTCTCGAAAAGGCATGAGAAGTTAAGACCACCGATGTTTTATGCACCGGTTGCGGGTGCGTCTGTCTATACCGGTCGGTATTGTAAATAAAAGAGAAGACAAACAAAACATACAAAATCCACCGTTAACAGCCAAGGCAGGTCAAGCTTACCCCAAAAAGATTCTATTACAGAATTGATTATTTGAAAAAAAAATACGTTAGTCGTTCCCGTAACTGGTGTCAAATTCGGCATTCCTGTATGCCGAATGAGCAGTGAATATTTTGAGAGAACTTCCCTGCATTTGGTCAGATTGAAAATCTTTGAATGGATTAAATGTCTTAGAAGACATTTACATCAAATTCAGGGAAACTGAGCTGGTAGAAATTTCGTAACTGAATCGCGTGTGAATTCACGGCTCATTACGCATGCAAGAATGCCCACAGAGATGAATCTGAAATCTACAACTACCAACGGTTCAACTTTCAAATAATAAATAGAATCTTAGGAGGTACGCTAGACCTGGCTTCGCTGTAATCAGATATCTTATATCTGGATTTTTGGGTGGACATTGCGTGAAGATGTTCGGCTAGCCTGTGCACAGACGCCAGAGCTATTTTTCGACCTACATGTGCCTTTTCAACTGTCAGCGAAAGAACAAAAAATAATTTATGCAAATGTATACTGGAACACGATTAACGACGGCGATTCACAGACGTCTTTTCTCCCGATCTTTCCTGAGGGAGGGGGGGGACGTCTGTACACAGGCTACTTAATATCATAGCAAATCTTCTATTGTAACTAGTTATTTCTGACGTTTGAAAAATGAACTGAAAACGACGCTTTAAAATTTGTTGCATTGTAAAGTTAAATTTTCAAGTACAGTGGAAATCAAGGCAAGTGAAAAGTGGCCGAGTCGATCGAGTTGTCTTCTTCTTTTCTTGATGTTCGAAACAGTGGGGCTAAATTTTAAGCCACTTAAAGAAAATGGCTACTTTTTTTTCTTGTCAACGCCAAGTTAAACTATTGTCTCTCCCTGTTAAAAAATGAAGCTCCATAGATTTCCCCAAAACAGCAGCCTGCGAAACAGCCGACACATTGCTACACCACCCGACTGGTTTTCCCACCCACAAATTCCGTACTGATGACGTATCACTACCCCGATCTGGGTGGCTTCTGATTGGTCGTGCCGCGTGAGGAATTTATTTCAACCAATCAAAAAGCACTACCCAGATCTGGTTAGTGACACGTCATCAGTACGAGATTTTTATGCTCGTTCCTCAGACGTAATTTTGTGGGAAATCCAGTGCTGTTTTCTCTGGCTACCATAACAGTTGTTAACGCGTTAACCGCCTACGTCTATGAGGATTCCATACAATTCAATACCGGAAAGAAAAATACTAAATCTCCCTGAGGAATTCTTGCCCGTCTGAAAAATCCTAAAATACCGAAAGGCCCCCAGTTCTCCGTCGACTGGCCATGTGGCTGTGTAGTAAGGGAAAGGATCCTTGAGCCCGCGATCATTGTCATGCTTTTTTAGTGTCTTCCAAATACGTTTATCAAGCGACCCTTCTAGGCGCCAATTACGAATGATTGACATTCCATTGTCTCTCCCATGTCGCAGGGAGTAGTGGGTGAGATATAAAGCGTATTTTTCCGTTAAGTCTACACACCACCATGATTTGTCTTCGTCCTTTGTTCCACTTAAGCTTCCTCTGCGATTTTCAAGCAGATCAATTGCGTTACTGTGTTCATCATGATCAGAGGAGCGCGTGGCGATTATTCTTGTAGGAGAGGCGCTGGTACCACCGGGGTTCACCCATGGAGTTGTACCAAAGTTTGTTCCCAGGGCATAGAGAACACCATGTCTGTCGAAATCTTTTCTGTAGTTTAAAACGCCTGTGTTAATTGAAAAGGAAAAAAGGATCTGCATCAGCCAATGTTTTCGAAGTTAACATATATAGAATAAGGAGCATTCACTGAGGTCTGTTCCTGCAATGGGTCAGATTACATTCATTCTTTAGGGATAACCGGGATTTAATGTAGTCTACTACGAGGAACGTTGCGTGACGACACTAAAAACGGTTGTGTAGCAGACTAGATTTAATGCGGATCCAAGGTCACACGGATCAAATGGTGCATCAAACGTTCACATGAATCCTTGTCCAGATGGGATTCAAAAATCATCCCATGGCATAATTGTCTATTTTCTACAAAACTCACTATAACAATATTTTGTTTTTCTTGGGGGGGTGGGGGGGGGAGCATATGATCCACCAAGGGAGCAAAAGACAGTACACACAAACTCTCGAACTTGCGTCGTCTTACCTTCGTCTGGCCTTCTCACAGAAGTGCTTTTTTGAATCGCAAGTAGCCAGAGCAAGAGAGGATAAAGGGGACAGAGAAGGCATCCCCCATACACACCCTATTCCACAGGTAATTCGTCTCGAGTTATTTTTAAGACCACAGATCCAAAGGGGGATTAGACAACAGCCAATCACATAGCGCGAATGTGTTCCGCTTGGATGACCCACGCTCAGAGCCACGCGTCCTTCACGAATTGACGCAGAACAGAATGGCGGAAGACGCGGAGAGCAATATTGCTATTCGTTTTGTCGACAAAAACGACTACAGAGAGTTTTCTGCTAAAGCTGTGTCAGCGAAACGGAAATTAAAAAGAATCGCCCTTCCTGGCTTGTTTCTAAGCTGATTGTTACGACGTTGATTCGAGCGAAGCTGAGAGTTCTAAAAAAAGTAAGTGCAAGCGAGGAGGAAGCTGTAAAAAAGCTCCTATTCCGATGATGGTTCAGCAGATGAAGCCAAGAGGAGGAAAAGTGCAGGGAAGCCTAAACCTGCGCCTTCGAGTTCGACCGTCACCAAATTAAGCAAAAAGGCGCCGAAGAAATCAAATAAACGGAGCAAGAGTCTTTCGGAAGAAGACATGGAGCGATTCCCTTTTCCCAGGTGAGCGCCGACTCATTTCGCTTCAATATTCAGGAATGCTCTCGATCTCTTTACGCTTTCATTGCCTTTCGCCCGACATGTTTTGCACGGCGTTTAGTCATGCGAAACTTCCACGAGACATCCACGCGGCCCGCGAGGTAACTTTATCCCGATTCTAAAAATAACTCGAGAAGAATTATCTATGGAATAGGGTGTGTATGGGGGATGCCTTCTCTGTCCCTTTATCCTCTCTTGCATGGCCAGAGCAAAAGTTGAAACAAACAAGAGCGCCCTCAAAAGTTTGCTTGCTCTTCATACCTAGGCTACCCGACAAGTGCTAATTTGGAGTCAAAATGGGACGTCTAATTGTGGTGGAATACAATGCACCCTAACTTGCATTCTGAGAAGACCTTAGGCTCAATTTTGGCCGCGCTCTTTCGGGTCCGGTCTAATTCCGCACCAAGAAGAGAAGGGAGGCACGCGGGCTCCTTTCCCGATCAGCGGCTGTTAATCAAACCTATCCTAGCCGAACAAATCTATAAACAGAACTGCAAACTTACGGCCTGGCATACTCCGCAATCTTTGAATTTCTTCTTTCAAAGTGTCGCACCTGGCGCGTTCCACGTTTGCGGCCTCGCGAAGTCGCGTAATATCTTCACGTTTGTCCGCTTCCTGATTGCTTAGTTCCCTCATCAATTTTTCCACTTCCTTTAACGCGTCTTTTTTCGCCTTGTTTTCAACCAACAGTTCTTCTTTCACTTCTTTTACCTTCTTCTTTTCACGAGACAAATTTTTCTTTACTTTAAGGAACTCTTCTTGGTGTTTCTCGACTTGTGATTTTTCCCTACTCAGTTCCGTCTTTATTTTATGAACTTCAGATTTGTGTTTATTTATCTGTTCTCTTAGTTCTTCGTTCTGCACTTGTAGATTTTTTATTTCCTGTAACTGCTGTTCTTTTACTCCACAAAGCATTTTTTGCAGTTCTTTCTCAAAGTCTCGTGATAAAGTTTCATGTTCTTCCTTCATGCTTTGTAATTCCTTTTGAAATGTTTGCCTTTCTCGCATATGTTCGTCCCCCAATATTTTGATGCGGCTGTTCATTTGCTTATTTTCCTCCTCCAACTTCTCTTTTTTTGCTTTGATTAGGTCTTTTTCAATTCGAAGCAAGTTACATTCTTCCTCACGTTCGTCACAACGTGAGCAGTTCAGCCCATCTGCAAAGAAATAACAACAACTTATAACATCGTTTTTTATGGTAACGTCATTGACAGTTTCAGAACCCACGCTCCTTAACTTTTGATTTGACATTTTCACAATGGTCTTGGAACTGGTTGGTGTTCTAGCACTGTTATTTGATTGCTTAGTTCCCTCATCAATTTTTCCACTTCCTTTAATGCGTCTTTTTTTGCCTTGTTTTCAACCAACAGTTCTTCTTTCACTTCTTTTACCCTCTTTTTTTCACGAGACAAATTTTTCTTTACTTTAAGGAACTCTATATGAAAAGCACAAATGAAAAACATAGAAAAGTGGACTGATTTTTCGCAAATAAACCAAAGAAAAAACATTCGGCCACCGTAATTTTCCTCTACATATAAAACCTGCTTAAGCGCGTCACACTGACCCTCTCTTGCATTAATCTTGAAAGGTTTTTGCCAAGTCCATAGACTTCATTATTTGCGCAGTGCGCAGCCCATGGCATGCATTTCGGGTCACATTGGTCCTGCCGTTCGTAACGGCTAGGCGACCGAAATCGCATTGGCCTAGAAGGCCGGAGAAAACGCCATACAGGGACTGGTAGGGAGGTTTCCTCCCTTCAATTTCGTGTGTGTCTGTTTTTTCATTCGTTGTTTCTTTCTTTTTCAATTATGATTGTCATCTCTTTCTATTAAGAAATATTTCTCCCCCCTGTGCTAAACTCACCTTCAAATTCAAATTGCACTATCTCTCCGGGAGAAGTGGCCCTGTCATGGACGCTCGCTGTTCGATGTGTTTCCATACTAGCAAGAGTTTCCTCGAGTTGTTTCTCTAATTCCTCGCATCTTCGTTTTGTTCCTTCGTGCTCTTTCACCACTCTAGCCAGATCCTTTCTTGTCTCTTCTAGCTCAACCGCTAGGTCTGCGCCATTTTTCAAAAATTTACTGTTCTTTTCCAAGACTGCATTCTCAGTAAGACAAAGGGGAGTGAGGACCCTCATTGGAGATTGATCAGAAAGGACAATTTCTCGTTGGCGAGAAATTGAGTGAAGGTCATCGTGAAGAAATGTTTCGTTTAAAATATTGTAGTTGTAGTCTGACAACTTTCGGACCATCTCTTTGTTTTCTTTTGTTTTCTCATCCAGTGTTTCCGTGAGTTTGCACAACTCTTTCTCCGTTCGTGACCTTGCTTCGTCTAGCTGGTCACACAAACCCCGTAAGCGCTCCGTCTCCTCGATATAAACTTCTTTTTCACTTCTTTCAGCCAATACCTGTTTTTCCAGTTCTTCAATTGTTGTCTTCAGTTGTTGAAGTCTGCTTTCCATGAGTTTCTTATCGTCTTCTCCTTTTGTCATTAACATTTTATTCATACTTTTTAGTTCCTCGCATTCCTTTAGAGTTTTCTTGTGATTTTGTCGTTCTTTTTCTAATTCCGTCCTCGTTATTTTAACTTCTTCCCTCAACCTCGCGCTACGTGTTCTCGCGCGGTTCAATTCTGTCTTGATCTCCTCCATTTCTTTAGAAAAAATAAAAAAAAAAATCACGCAAAATAATAAAGGCCTCTGCGATAAATAACTATGGACGCGGTCTCCAATAAACCGACAATGGCCGGGCTTATTTACCTGCCCTGCCCATGTACGGGGTGATTTTGCAGCCTCACCACCAAAACGAGGCAGCATATCATTGCCATCTTTCACGTAATATGAATCTCGTCAGGTTCGAAAAGCTCTGACTGGTGACGAACTTTTTTTAAAACATTTTCGTTCATTTACCTTCCTCTGAAATCAATAAAACCAATTCGGGAGAAGATCAGTAAGGATATGGCTTCGTTACATTGCCAGCGACTGGTAGCATGAAATCAATGAGCTTCGTGATTGTCCATGAGCTTTTATTAAATGGAATGGGGTCCATGACAATTCCCTCTTGAATCGCAGGGGGATAATTTCGTGTCCAAAAATAAATCTTGCAAGGGTTCCCGTACAGTTTGCACACCATCAGTAAAAGGTCTATGAAGCCTCGTAGAGTAAGATAAATGTGATAGTCGTTTTTGAATCAAGTATCACAACCTGGCTCCTGTTTTAACATAGATTTTCCCGTCTTTTATGATCAGTAAACCCCTATAATTAGGACAGAACAACGTCTAACAGAAAATGTTTTTACCTGATTGCTGTACTAACGGAGAGGCTAAATGTGGCTGGACTTCCTGCAATGCTTTTACAAAGTCTTCAAACGCGTTTGGCCCTCTCCTGGGTAGAATTTCTAACAGCTTATCACTCGCCTCTTCTCGAGTAGCTCTCACTTTAATTTCTTGCTCATCTGTGACGTCTAAGACGTTCACCAACTGAGGTAACAACTTCACTGGCTCCAGATCCCTTCTGAGTGTGGACCAGTTTCGTCGCAAGATTTCTCGGTGTTTGTCATTCATGGCGCCCCCAGTTGTCCTTTCTTACCAGATTTGTTCCTATAAATGGTTCAAATTTCTTTTAAACCCTGGAACAAGTAATTCTGTGCGCGTTTTAGGAGACAAAATTTGGTAACTGATGTCACTGAATGTTTGCTGTTACAAAAAAACATCATGAAATCAATGAGACAATGTTTTTTGGCCCTTCTGTCGAAACAAATACAAAATTTTTTAGGGTAAAACCATAAAAGTAACAGTTGTGAGCTTCGACAAGGTTTTTCTCATTCTACAGTTTGGATGATAAAAATATTTCAAATAGTCATTCTAGCAGGTTGTGTACAAGTCTGTACTCTTTCTCTATACAGTGAACAGTTGAACCAAGCGGCCTGTTACTAGCGTACCGAGACAAAATTGATGGTAAATCCAGCAGTACTGTATCCTCTCGGTGGTATCAAGGGGGGTTGGATCTCATCAAAAAATGAGGTTTTGTTTACTCTAAGTCTTCATACTTTTCAATTAAATTTTAGCACAAATAACAAGGAAATTGATTATTGGTCCTAAGATTAGTTAAGCAGTGAAGTGTTTTTGTGTCAAAGTAAAATCGACTCCGTAAGCCGGATGTTGTTGTTAAAGATTTATACAATGGACCTTCTTTCTGTTCTTTTCAAGTGAATTGTTGTGATTTAATATATTGCCTAATATTGCACTTTCAGTTAGTAAACAAACGGAATGTCAAATAAAAGGGAACTATTGTCAGTTACAAAACACTGCAAGCTAATTTTCTTTTTATGGAGACAACAGTCCTTTGATTTTAACATCCGGTAGAGTTGGGGTTTTCCCTTAATTAATTTCAAAGAGAGGTAAAAAGCGTCTTTTTATTCTCTGTAGTGATTCGTCACGTAGAACAAAAGTGGCTAGTATACAAAATAAAAAAAAACAAAACAAAACAAAAGAATCTGCATGCGAATATCTTTTAGCTCAATTGAATGTTGATTTCAATAGCTTTTTGTGTTTTCTCAATAAGACCGTTCAGTTGAATTGAAAGCTGTCTGGTTTTATAGATGACTTGTTTATTATTTTTAAATGACTCAGCCATTTTTACTGAAAGTAAACTGTGACCTTTTGTTAACTGACTACGAGAGCGAGCAAACCTTATACGAATTTCTTTGTCCAAGCAACTTGATGGTGTTTGAAGAAATATATTCGCGAGGATGACTCAGTTGATCTCATTGTTATTAAAATACTGAATACATTAAACGGTCCATTACAATCAAACCCGTATTGCACGAAGTTGAAAATCAAGAAATGTTTATGTGAAAGATCCGGCCAAAAATACAAGTGTGTAAATAACTTAGCCAATTACTCATGTTCAGGAGTTATTTGTAAACTCGAAAGCGGCGTGCTAACAGCTTTGTATAAGAATGTTATATTTACGTTGATCGAAAACATTGTTCAAACCATTCTCGATGACAAGAGTAATTGAACATTGTGTAACTTTGCAAAGTGTAAACAAAGTTGTTAAAACTCGCCATGATGTGATTAAATATTTAAGTTGGCGTGAATTGGACTGGAGAAAAGGCGTCATGCGATCAGCTGCCAAAAGAAACTCGATCCTGACTATTTGGAGAGGAAAGATCACGGAAGAATCGAGAGAAAGTCGCGGTTTAATATCTGGATCGTGATATCGGCTAGTTCAAACAGTCTGCCAACCAAATAAGCAGGTTGCTTAAGTAGTGTTTAACGTATCGTAATAACAAAAGCTCCATTTGTAAACCAACTTACATACCCGTCTAAATCTTGGCGGATCGATTGAGTAGTGAGTCGTCTCGGGTCTGGCAGGATCTGAGCCGAGAACTGAAGCCGTCAAACGTGATCTTCGTTCATTTGAAGAGCCGTAGGAATCCAAGATGGTGAATTATATGCGAATCACCTGCCCTTTCCTTCGAAAATAAGAAAACCATAAGGTTTTTGTCGAAGCAAGACAGAGAGAGAAGACAATTCCCCCTCTAAAGACATAAGAAAGCAGTTTGACCTTTTGGGTACCTTATACTGAATTACAAGTGACGTAATGGGTCTTAATAGAAGCCAATCAAATCGAGCTGAACTGTGTTCTCCGTTGCCATGACAAAGTGTATTTAGCCTACTTTTGAAATGAGCCCTTACAATTCGCATTGCGTTTAAGTATAAGTCGAACGCTCTATATTTTGTTGCAGACCTGAATACTTACGTTAGTGGCATGCACATTGACGTATTTATCTTTTTGGACATCTTTAAATGTCGAAATTATTTTCTACAAGCCTTTTGCTGACCAATCCGAGACCCAGATGTAGACAAGGCAGACAATGTCCGGCCCTGGTCCCAGGGGGAACTTGTGGTCAGGTTCTGATAAGCACTTCTGATGTTTCAAAATTACTTTGTCTTTTGTCTTTGCGTTTTGTAAAGATGATTGGAAAAGTTTANCATTCTCGATGACAAGAGTAATTGAACATTGTGTAACTTTGCAAAGTGTAAACAAAGTTGTTAAAACTCGCCATGATGTGATTAAATATTTAAGTTGGCGTGAATTGGACTGGAGAAAAGGCGTCATGCGATCAGCTGCCAAAAGAAACTCGATCCTGACTATTTGGAGAGGAAAGATCACGGAAGAATCGAGAGAAAGTCGCGGTTTAATATCTGGATCGTGATATCGGCTAGTTCAAACAGTCTGCCAACCAAATAAGCAGGTTGCTTAAGTAGTGTTTAACGTATCGTAATAACAAAAGCTCCATTTGTAAACCAACTTACATACCCGTCTAAATCTTGGCGGATCGATTGAGTAGTGAGTCGTCTCGGGTCTGGCAGGATCTGAGCCGAGAACTGAAGCCGTCAAACGTGATCTTCGTTCATTTAAAGAGCCGTGGGAATCTAAGATGGTGAATTATATGCGAATCACCTGCCCTTTCGTTCGAAAATAAGAAAACCATAAGGTTTTTGTCGAAGCAAGACAGAGAGAGAAGACAATTCCCCCTCTAAAGACATAAGAAAGCAGTTTGACCTTTTGGGTACCTTATACTGAATTACAAGTGACGTAATGGGTCTTAATAGAAGCCAATCAAATCGAGCTGAACTGTGTTCTCCGTTGCCATGACAAAGTGTATTTAGCCTACTTTTGAAATGAGCCCTTACAATTCGCATTGCGTTTAAGTATAAGTCGAACGCTCTATATTTTGTTGCAGACCTGAATACTTACGTTAGTGGCATGCACATTGACGTATTTATCTTTTTGGACATCTTTAAATGTCGAAATTATTTTCTACAAGCCTTTTGCTGACCAATCCGAGACCCAGATGTAGACAAGGCAGACAATGTCCGGCCCTGGTCCCAGGGGGAACTTGTGGTCAGGTTCTGATAAGCACTTCTGATGTTTCAAAATTACTTTGTCTTTTGTCTTTGCGTTTTGTAAAGATGATTGGAAAAGTTTAATCGCAATCGATAGTTCCTCATCTGATCACAATTTAATAATAATGTCAGGTGTTTTGATCCGTCCAAGGATACATGTAGTACAGTGTTACTTGTCCGGAATTAGAGAGAACAACTCTCAACACTTGTTCGCATACGTCATGAGCTGCAAACGGTATAATTTGAGAACTGATATGGTTCCAGTTTTCTGACTATCTTAAAAACGTGAATGTGAGAAAAAATTATAATTAAGAATGTTGTTTTTTCGGGCCAGGCTTAATATTCTTACTCTTCTGCCGATTTTAGCCTGAAAATATTCTTGCTTTTTTTCAGGTCTATTGAAAAAGCTTAAACCTGGCTTTATAATATTTTAGCGATTCAGTCACGCAATCAGCAGTTTTAAAGCTTACCTTACTCGTATTTCATTGTTGACGTCCAGCGGTTTTACCGAAAACAAGGGTTTGGCTGGGGTGCTCAGTCTCGCAGGCTCATAAAACCTGGTCATATTGCATTTACTCGCGCATTTGCGGTTTTCGCTGTGTCGGACTCTCGAAGAAGAGCAAGATGGGAAAGTAAAGGAAAAGAAGTCGAGAACGACGGTATGAAAATCTAACTACTATTTTGCAATTTTTATACCACACTCTTGCAATATTTTTCTGTTCAGATCATGGTTGTAAAATGCTGCGCGCAAATTGAAGGCCACTGTTGTTTATATTTCCAGATCACGTTCCTATTCCTGGTCGCCAGCGAGAGGACAGAGAGAACGGTGTGCACAGGCTCTCTGTGTGGGGAAAAAATAGCTCCACCAACGGCCTGTTCACAGGCTACGATCAGCGAGCCGAAGGCGATCTTCAAGCCGGTCAGTTAAGTGTTCTACTAATTCCTCTTTTCAGCTTGATAAATTATTCGACATTATAGTTTCTCATAGAAACACTGTAATTTCTCACGCGGTTCTGGCTTCAAAAACCGTGACAAGGTCTTCACTATTGCAATGCGCAACTGTGTCAGAAAGAGTAACTATAGTAATAGAGAACAATGCATCAGATACATTGTCCTTGACAGATCTTAAAGGACATTTTTCTTTACGTAGATCTCGGAAATCTCAGTCGAAAAGATCTCGTTCACCGAATCGTCATCACAGACATGAAATGCATCAACGACCAAGGTAAAGCTAATTCGTTTTTTGTAAATCTGATACCCTGTGTTATATGATGAACTGATCGGTGCATGTAAAAGTCATGCGGGCGAGTACATCACCACATTGTCGCCAAGTATCAGCGAGTATATCACTGAGTACTATCGCAGATATCAAGCAAGCGAATAAGCGAAAATATTGTGGGTCGTGGGAGAAATAAAACGCTAAATGCACATCCTCGATCTTTAGATCAGTGTTTAGATACTGTTTATTCTAGTAACCAAAGTATTTTAAGCGTGCTTTACTTCTGTCCAGTTTTTTCGAAGCCCTTGACCATCACTTTCATGCTAACAATCCATACCGGGAAAGAGGTCGTGGAAATTTCGTGTTAAAAGGATGGGAGTGATCTTCGTTTACTTCAAATCGATTGGAACCTGTTTATTACATGTTATTACGAGAGGCATCGTAGGATATTGAGCTAGCTTATTTCTAACTCTTACCTCCGGAAATCGCTCTGGGTAGTACTTTATTCAGCTGATTATTAACAATACTTGTAAGGGACGGAGCATCAGGAGAAGATTGGGAATCATTGCGCCCCAAACTCAAAGTTTAAAAATGCTTGAAGAACTCCAGGGCCTTGACGAAGAACGTTGTGATCACCTGGTTACTAAAAATTGGCTTGAGCAATCAGAGGAAGATCCTTTAGTCTACAATGAAGGAAACTTTGACGATCAAAACTCACCAAAATGCATCATGGACCGAGTCTCTGTTGATCGGGAGGCTGAACAATTTATTTTAAGAAGGAACGAAGAACGGCGTCTCAAGAATTTGGCTAACGGGCTTCTAGACAACAAATCACACGACAGTGACGGTGAGAGCCAGGAAGAGGAGAGTCTTGCAGAACTGGAAGACGAAGAGCCTAGTAGCAGAACCCGGTTTGAGGCTGGACGCAGTAGATCTGGGAGAAGAGTCACCAGATATCTTCTTTAAATACACGTTTTGCATTTTCAGCCTCAATTCCACTATTGCGATAAAATGGAAAAGTTTAAAATAACAATAATGACGCTATAAGTGGCAGAAATGAAATATTAGCATGCAAGAGTCACGCAAACACTTTTAGTGCTCGAGTGGAGTCTTCTTTAATGTTTAACACCGGTCTCATTTTCTCGATAAGCCTTTCTCATAGTCCTTCGTGGTTGTAGGTGGCCTTGCGCTCTCTTACCTTGTGCTTCGCGCTCGGTCTTGGCTCCCATTGTGTGTATTTTTCTCCTTGCCAGCTCACCTTCCGAAGCTCGACTTGAAGACAATTCTATTCGTTAATGAACAAAGTCTCAAAAATCAAACAATGGAACTTCGATCCACATTTCTTCATAATTGAAAATTCGATGGTATAGGTGTCGTACCTTATATAGATTCTTTTGCCATATATTTAGATTCAGTCCTTTTATTCATTTCTTACGTGACGTTAACTTGAAGCCGTCGAAACGTGGAGATTTAGTTTTTTATTTAATTGTCGTCTATATCTCGTCTATTTTTATCGCATTGTTTTATAGAGTGTTTTCTTTTCGTCATAGCATCATACGAGTTTTACATTTCTCAACCAAGAAAGTTTTGAAAAAGTTAATTAATCAGGTAATGTGTACTGGACCGAGCATTTTTCAGAAGCAAGCAGCAGAATTCAAATAATTCCTTAATACATCATGGAAGACAAAATGAGAACGTGATTCAGAATGAACAAATAAACATCTACTTGCATGAGGTAAATTATTAATGAATGATAATCGACGTCGGGGATACATAACTTGATCACACCTCTCTATGGGATCATAAAATTTACATGGGATCAGGGATCAAATTTTGCTACATTCTGGGATCAGGGATCAAAATTTGGAGCTAAAAATTGGGATCAGCGAGGAAGAAATATACCTGGTTACGACCCTGCACATCTCTTTGCGCTGTCCCCACGATCTGAACACCAGAAACAGGCTGTCATTAGTACTGAACATTTGGATATAACCAATGCAGGTTTCTTCGTTTTGTTGGGTAGTTTTGCCATGGTAGGAAGCAATAATTAAGTCATAAAAACATATCTGTTAGACTTTAATCACTCAAAATAATCATCCTTTTCGAAATCTCAGCTTCGGGTTTATTCTTAAAATATTCTTAAAATTTTGCAAATTTCAGCCTCATATATAAAATATATTCGTATAGGAAAAAAAAAGATGTACAGGCAACCCAAGCTCAGTGTGATAGTGCGTGCTGTATCATGTTGCGTAATCGTCAAATGGCGGTGAACATAAAGGATTTGCTATGAAAATTTTCCATACAAATCCTTTATATGAATTCACTGCCATGTGAGGATTAGGCAATTTTAGGCGATATTATACCACACGTGTTCATGATTTTAAAACTCTCATACTGGACTTGAGTGTCCTGTGGTGCATTAAGAGACTTTGCATTGACTTCAGGCAGGGGAACACTTACAAACTCATGCTCTAGTAGTAAGTGCAGTTGTAATGTCTGATGGGACCGATGGACAGTTCCATCGTATCAACTACTAAAGGATGGAGCAGGCGGTAAGATAGCCTTTACAGGAAGTACATACATACACTAGAGCCTGTACTTAAACTATCCATTCCGACTGAAGAGCGAAGCGTGCCGCAAAATAAGGCGCAAACGAGAGGGACGGGTGAGAGAAATGCTTCCAGCGATGTAACATTAGTGCTAGCAACTGAGTTTCAGTGCATTCAGTCGAGTGGGCCCTTGATTACAACTCCCTGTTCTTTTGTTACTACCATTACGGTACCTGTTGACACGTTAACAAAGCACAGGTGCTTGGTCAGCAAATGTTTGCCATTCCATGCTTACGTATACCTGCTTACTACTTTAAATAACGTGAATTCAAAAAAGAAACCAAAAACCCCCACACTACCTTGCCCTTCATGAGAAAATAGACCCACCAGGTATTTAAGACGCTGTGAGCTGTAAGTAGGGACGTTAAAGGCCTGAAGGGGCTGTGTCAAGACAGTCTAGTCAATTTTTATTTTATTTTTACTTGTAGACAACACGATCAGAATGATTCATAACAAACAATTAATTACGTCTCCTGAGCATTATATTAACAGAGATATACTTAAACCTTCCAAAAACGTTAAGGTTGAACTGGTTTCCAAAATCTTAATTGTAATCCTTTTTACTCATCGCCAATTTTGCCCACACATAGTCGAACCTTATCATGGATGTGAAAGCTCAGACAAGGCCAGATCATTTAGTTTAGGGAGAGAGGGAAGAATCAAACTTTACACTTTTATAAAGGGACTTGGTGCCCTAATGTTCATGAGGTTTTACGAAACCAAATGGCCAACATTCTAAAGTCGTCGGCAATTTTTTTTTGTCTACTTTAAGGTCCAATTTTTGCTAATTCATTTTTTTAATTAGGTGTTTTAGAGCCTGCGGGAAAGTTCTACTTGCATTGATATATTAGAAGTCATACCAATTTTGTCATGTTCAAACCCGCCTGCACACACAAAAAAAACATGGTCAATAGATCACTGAGATCACCCATGGACCGTGAATGTCTGGCAAAGAAAGAGACCTAAAACATTAATCATTTGCATGAGATAAAAAGTAATGTAATTTGTGTTAATCAGGATAAACATAAATTAATATTTTGCGGGCCTTCATAAGTCTTGCACAGTAGATTATTGTCTTTTAGGCTAGTTATTGGTCATTCTGGCTAATTAGGTAACTGGCTCTTAGTTTAGGTTCTTCATTGATATGAAGGAGATGTAATTGTTGGTTGATAAGAAAAAAATAAACTCGGGTTTGGACCTCAAATAACAATTCTTTATTTACAGCTGTAGTTAAGCACAGTCCTTACAAACTTGATTTCAGAGTGTACATAAGTATATTGAAACTCGGAGTATTTTCCTATAGATTTTCAATCTCGAATTAACTCCTTGATTAAAATGTTTATCATATTTTAACTGTTACTCACATATATAAAAGAACCTCTTTTTATCTTGCCTGGCAAAAAAGGGTCTTAAGTTTTGGAGTATCAAAAAGGCAAATTTCTGCCAGCACGGTCTAATATATGTGCGAGTGTTAGGGTAACCCTAGCACCAGGGTTACCCTCCCTCCTTGTAGTAGTAGTACCTGAATAAACAGCAAATTAGCCAAGTGAGGCACTAAACTCAATCCTGATTGTAAATATCCCGTGCATAGCCTGGAAGCGAATTTCACCGGTCTTTTCTGCATGTATGGCAGCCACTGAAAGCTCAAGGTAACAAGTCCGTCATGATGTTTTATTTGAAGGACCGAGTCCCATTTTACATTGCTGGAAGGGGCTATTCTTTTTCAGTTATTCACCGCACGGCTTTTTTCGGAGTTTTTGGATGAACTTGGCTGTTATTAAAGTAACCGGGGTGCTCGTCGGAAAATTTCGAGAACGCCCCTAAANGAAACTCGGAGTATTTTCCTATAGATTTTCAATCTCGAATTAACTCCTTGATTAAAATGTTTATCATATTTTAACTGTTACTCACATATATAAAAGAACCTCTTTTTATCTTGCCTGGCAAAAAAGGGTCTTAAGTTTTGGAGTATCAAAAAGGCAAATTTCTGCCAGCACGGTCTAATATATGTGCGAGTGTTAGGGTAACCCTAGCACCAGGGTTACCCTCCCTCCTTGTAGTAGTAGTACCTGAATAAACAGCAAATTAGCCAAGTGAGGCACTAAACTCAATCCTGATTGTAAATATCCCGTGCATAGCCTGGAAGCGAATTTCACCGGTCTTTTCTGCATGTATGGCAGCCACTGAAAGCTCAAGGTAACAAGTCCGTCATGATGTTTTATTTGAAGGACCGAGTCCCATTTTACATTGCTGGAAGGGGCTATTCTTTTTCAGTTATTCACCGCACGGCTTTTTTCGGAGTTTTTGGATGAACTTGGCTGTTATTAAAGTAACCGGGGTGCTCGTCGGAAAATTTCGAGAACGCCCCTAAAAGGTACCAGAATCTTGTTCTATGGGCATGTCTCGAATTCATTTCCACTCATAAGAGATACAAATTCAACAACAACAATTATATAACTGGCACTGTAAAGATAAAGATAACTTTCGAACACTTTCTCCTCAAGGACGTTCTGAAAGTATTGTCATAAATCTTTATCCTAATAACTCTGGCAGCTGTCGTTTTAGGTTTTTGCACCCTAAGCGGTACCAATCCGCAAATTTACACCCCTAAAAGGTACGACGAGCACCCCAGTCACTTTCATAGGGGAGTTCCCCTGGGGGGTCTTACTAAACCTACCTAAACTTCAGAACAGAAACTGTACCAAGACGTTTTTATAGGCTGCAATAACGACTGAGACATTATGTAATTTTAATTTTCTGTGGACAAAAACCTTGTACCAAAATAATTTTAATCATGTCGCATTTTATAAATGTAATAGGTTATATATGAAATAACTCCAAAGAAGCGAAAAGGTTCTTATGGAAGCCCAATAAAACAAACTGCAAAAGCTTCAAATAGTTCACAAAATGAAATGACGATTTCGCCTTTGTTTTAATTGTCAATTCTTGTGAAATTTGAAATTTATATTCCCGGGCTCCCATAAGAAACTTTTCTTAGCCCTTGAAAAGTGTAAAAAAGAAAGCGATATGACTTAAAATTTTCCTGGTACGAGGTTTTTATCCACTGAAAATTAAACTTACTCAATTTCCTGATGGATACCGTCTTTACATCAGACCTCAGGTCGCCTTCGATGAAGTAATAACAATAGCGAAAGGCGTTTTATATTCATGACCCTGGTAAATGTTTTATTTCATCAATCCAGTCCAGGTTTTGATGGTAATGCATCCCATCAACAATGCAAGCCGCCAAGTTCTTTTTCACCAAAGAATATTTTCTTTGACTAATCTTCTTCATTTAAACGATTTGACAAATCTGTCACCGCTGCTGCTAATGCGTGTTTGATGTCAAATCGTTCCTTTGTGACAGAACACCCTTGCCCAAATCTCACATAGGATGATTCTTGGTGAAGGTAAAACAGCAAAAGCAAAAAAGTCTATTTTCTTTTAATATTGAAAACTTCCTTATCGCTTTAGTTACGTTATGACATTTTAAAAAGTTTCTACCCTTAGCCTGTTATGCCGTCTACAATGCCAATCATGTAGCCTGCGTAGCATGGCGTTTTTGTCGGGAACAATACTCCGCCCAATTTCCTGGCGGTTTCTTCGCCCTCGTCAGCCTTTACTAGTTTTTGCGCCCATCCAAACCGCCATGCTACGCAGGTTACCATTCATGAAATATATACAGGTACATACAGGGGGCCAGTGACATAACCCGAAATGGCAGCCCTTTTCAGATTTTTCACTATATATATTTTTCCTTTTCCCCCGAAAAGTTAACGTGTTACATAATAAGTACACTTTTCAAAAGCTTATTTGGACAAAGGAGGCTCTTAAAGCATACAATATTACATTTTAATAGATTTAAATTTACAGCACACCTTAGTGTTAATACTTGTAAATCTCCTCATGGCATCCACTGCCGATTTTCAGGAAATCGCAGCAAATATGTCATGCAAAGAGCCAAACAGCTACTAACTTGCATTATAAGCCACTTGCACATCTCCCATAATGCACCTTATTTGCCCCCCAATAAAATTTGGCATAAGAATTATTTTCAATTTCTCTTGGGAAGGCGGTAATGAGAAACAAAGGTTATGCAAAATTTTGGGGGGCAAATAAAGTGCATTATGGAAGATGGTAAGTGGTGTATACAGCAAATGTGATTAAAGAAAATTGATAACAATTATCCAGTCTTAAAACGAGTACTATCAGTAGCGTTTTAGTTCTTATTTTCAGTTTTTAACAATAACTTTCCTCTTTTGTATTTTTGTGTCTTTGTCGCTCTTTTTCTAACTCCATTTTCAGTCTTTGATTCTCCTTTCTTACTTCTGCGTTTTGTGCTCTTTCTTGGTTCAGTTGTGTCTTCATATCTTCCCTTTCTGTTTATAAAACAGAAAACACAAACATTAATATAAATTCTTCTGAATCAAAACGTATGACAATGGCAGTAAGGTCACGTACGTAAGGATGGATGGGATAAAAGCATAGCCTGACTGTTTAACCCAAAAAATGAGTCTCTTTCAATAAGTAAGTAGGATGGGGAACTTTTCTACGTTTCGCCAGCAAGATGTTGAAGAAAATTTACTGCATTAATTGCTCAAATAGATCAAAGAGTTTAAAATGTGGCTGTTTTACTTTTTTTCTAATAATAATTTTTGTCCATAAAACGGTTCTTATTTTAGACTTTTTCACGTGGCACCACCCTTTTTATCAGTTTCACAACTTCTAGTGGCAATAAAATGTTTTAGAAGCATTTCAAGCCTTTTCATGCCCCAGTACCCCCTAGTTTGTTCACATTTATACGTTTTCCCTGCCCGCGGTTACAGCATGAATTGACTTAAGCAGCCTTGATTCTTTTATCATTTCCAGTACCTCCAAGGAGGAATATAATTTGGAATACCAAAATACCTGAAATAAACCGTTCAATATACCAAAAATTATACTAAAACTTATGTAAAATACCAAAATTAAGAAAAACATGGTATACTTTATACCCAAAATTGGTCGTGAGGGAATACTTTATATCCAATTTTAAGAATAAAAGTACTGTATACCTGAAATTAAATACCCCAATATACGGTATACCCACAAACTCTGCCAGACCCTGGTGAGAGTATTTCTAAACGTTGGACAACTCCTAAAACAGAGGTGGTTGTAGGGCATTCACACAGTAGCAAGCTTAAGCAAATACTATGGCGACAAAAGAGACCGTTTACAACAATAGGTTTAAATTAGCAAAACAACAACTTAATTTGCACGTGGCCGTTGTTGCCCGACTACGGCTTGAAATGTCTCATGTTTTATAGGGGAAGTGAACAGCAGACCATTATTTTTTTTCTTTTTTTTTAGCTTAAAACTAGTCCTTTAGAATTTATTTCCAGAGAAATCGCCATCCTATATTGAACGAGGTGGAATAAAGGCGATGTGGCTGTCGATACATTCTCACATGCTGGTATGGTGCAAATTAAATATTACCTGTAGTAGACTTTGGCGAGCTTTAATTAATTCTTGAGTAGGAACCATTATTCGGAAAAAAGTTTGTTTATAATGTTTGTTTTTTTTTCGCCCACTTCGTTACTACGTTATGCAAATTGACAAAGATTGAACAAAATTGCTTTCAAAGATGGGAATAAGCAAGAGTGCACTTCGACTGAAACGTAATTTTACCTTTTTAAATTTAGCCAGGGCTAAAAGCGAAGCTCTCTATAGTATTTATAGTTTCTTCAAACAACATATAAAATCGTGTAATGCTAAGCGGCGAAGGCAACGCCGCAGAACGGTGAAAAACAACAATAGGTCTAATAGCCATAGCCAACTTTGCACGTGCAGCACACTTTTTTTGTACATTTCTTTGCCGTTGTTTTGCACGACTACACCGTGAAACTTCCAGAAACTTCTTAGTTACAAGTTTTATGGGCGAAATTTCGTATACGTGTTCTTGTTCACTTTTTTTCACTGCCGCTCATTTTCACCTTGCATTCACCGCCGCTACAAATTGTTGTTCTTCCAACAAAAAAATGTCTCCTTTGTTTTTTATATCTCGCTCTAGATCTCTGTCGCCCTTTAATTTCTTGTTGAGCTTCGCTGGCCTGCCAGCTACTTTCTCTTATTCTCTGTCTTTCTCCTGTTCTACATTTCAAATTTGGGGACATGACAATTAATCTGAGCTACATTCTTTAGACAACACGGATACAGAAACAATTTCCGCTTTCCGTTTTCGTCTTTATTGACTCTTAACCTCTGCTTTACAAGACGCCAGTGGCTATGCGATTTCCCGCCAAAAAAACCTCGAGTTGCATTTGGGTTGCCATACCTGTTGATTGAGTTATTTTACATTGGTATACCTGTGGTGCGGACGGACGGTCGCTCGGGCAGGCGGTCGGTCGGTGTACGGTCACGTGATTACCAAATTTTCTCGGATGGGTAGATTACTTCATTTTCTTACCCATGGTGCTCCGCTGGCGCGCTTCGCGCGCGAAAGCTCCGCTAAAATGATAACTATGGTTCAGTAATATATAGATTTAGCCAGGGCTAAAAGCGAGGCTCCCATTAATAAATTTATAATTTAAATCAAACAATAAACTTGTATTCCACAATTCAGTTAACTTTAGAGCACATTCGTGTGACTTTTCATGGAAAGGCTAAGTGATTTTACAAAAAATAATTTGCAAGCAGCCCAAGAGTGAACCAAATCTCACATCGAGTTGATAGCCTCATAAGTACACCCAAAAACTGGCAATCATCTTCGATCACATTTATTAAGAGCCATAATGGCTCATGATCGCCTTAGATTAATTAGGCCTGGAAAAAAAATTCTGGCCGAATTTTTTGCGTTCGACAAGTTTACTTTACAAAATCTTGCCAACAAATCTGGGTGCGACTGTAAACCAACCTTTTATATCATTTATACATCACATCTGAGGTGAAACAGTACTATGAGGCACTGTTTTTATCATACAGACCTCGCACAACAGAATGCAGTATTTCACAATATTGCGATACAAATTGCTATCATTCAATATTCAGGACGATCGCAGCACGCGTGGGCTTTAGCTAAACCGTTAAAAAAAATTTTCAAAATCATCTATACGGCCAGCCGGTTCTGACTTTTGCAGTGCTAGCAGTGGCGAGTGTTTGAATGAACATTAACAGAGTTACGCTCCAACATAATAAAGAATTTATTATGTTTATTTTTTATTTTAAAACGGTTTAACGCGCGGCATTTTGAGTACTCCGGGAAGCGTTGTTCACTGAACGACTGAAAACAATCGACACAGCGATTAAAATTACAAGAGACAGTACTAACAATTAATAAAAGAAATATAATTCGGAGAAACATATACAGAGACGACAATTTTCATTCAGGAAGACAAGTATTAAAGTGTCTCTAAAAATCCTGAGTCTTCGAGCTTAAAGCTGAATTTTGTGTTTTAAGCCGGCTTCCCGGTGTTTGCTTTTTTCAAAGACGAACTCGAGGCAAGGAAATCGCTCAAACCTTTCTTTTACAGTCAGAATTATAACTAAATATTCCTTGAAACGTTTTCTTTCTATTTGCGGTGAGAAAATGTCTAAAGGCTTTTTAAAGATCTGTAAGCTTATAACAAACCTGATACGCGGTCAGATCATTGTCTCAAATCTTACAAACGTGCGTAAACAAAATAGCCGCATAAACTACGCTCGACTTCATTAAATTAGGAATAAAAAACAAACATCAAATACAATAATTACTTAGGCTTACCACTCGAGATGCAGCTCCTGAAAGGTATCAAGGAAGGCCAGTATCGCTTCAGACTTTGCAACCCTCTTACGCATTAAGCAAGGTGAAAACGAAAACGATGCCATCCGAAATCGGATTTCCGACTTTGACTCAACCAAAAACCCAATAAACAAACTAGCCATGAATAACAGAAGACTCCTGATAGAATCTGAATTTCATTTTGTACATCCAGTGGAAAAAGAAAGTTAAAAACATCACAAGTTGACACAAAACTCTGTCAGCTTCAGCTGTCAAAGTAAACAAGATTCAAGATGCTGCATAAATTTTGCGCATGAACTCACCTGTCAAATTTTGACCAATCAGAGCATAAAAATTGGACGTAGAGCGTGACCAACGCGTGAACATGGCGAGAAAAGTCAAAAGCAACTGTCTTCCCTGCCTGTAGCAGCTGGCTGAATTTTCGCGTCCGAGGTCAGTTTGAAATCAAAATTTTAATTGTGCGGCACATAAACACAACATATTTCATATGAATTTAAAAAAAAAATTAAACTTGAGCCTGCAATCATTTGAAAACAAGTACCTTGTCAGCGGATAACTTCAAAAAAATACTCGACCTCGATGGGTCGACACCTGAGCCCGCGATTCGCTCAAGTGATACTGGTCAGCGGATACCTTGTTTTGACAGCTGTCAATTGATCACATTTCCTGTGCTCCGATCCCAAACTAGCTAAATATTAATAATAATATCCATGCTAAAAAGTATGAGATTGAATATTGTTTGCGATCTAGTAAAACGATTAACTGGTCAGCGGACAGCTTCCAAATAAATTACGTCACCTCGATGAGTTGACAAATGAGCCCGCGTTATGGTCATGGGATACTGGTCAGGGGCTATCCTGTTTTGACAGCTGTCAATTGACTATATTGTGAATGTCATATAAAAAAGATGAGGACTTGCCAACACACGCCTGAGACACCCCTCCCTTCCTTTTGATAGTCTCCCCTACCCTACCCGTACAATCTGTAGACGCGTACGTACGTACGTACGTTCGGTCAGTCACGTGACAACCAAGCGAAAAGAGGTTGACCATATTCCATGAGTATGGGGCTCTGTCCCACGCGCGCTTCGCGCGCGCGGGAGCCCCGCTATGAATGACGAATAAAAATCAACGACCGGTTTGGTGGAGTGATTTTTTGCCAGCAAAAAACGAATTTGAAACAACCCACATCACCTTGTGGTCTTGGCTTGAAGACTTTTTGCTTTTCTTCCGACAACGTTTTTTTAAATAGCTGTATAATCTGTTTTTAACCATTTTATCTGACTTGTAACGTGTATCCGTTCATTCTTTTTATGTAAATGTTGGCGCGATGTAAATTTTATACATTTAAAAAACCGTTACCGCCAAAACGGACCTTTTGCGTCCAACAGTTTTTTCGGCCAAAACTATGAACTATCTCAAAGCAGCTATTATAAAAACTAAGAGTGCAACAATTGCTTTTTTTCCTTCTCTTCCTTTCCTTCTCCTCGCCCTTTCTCTTTCTCTTTTCCTTTTCCTTCGTTACTGTGATATTGGAGCTTCTTGGGCTTAAGAAACCTGCTTTTTGAAGCCTTTTCACTAAAATGACTGCAAATTTCGTTAGCATGGGTTTCAAAAAATCGGTTAGGTATACATTTTATCGCTCACCTAAATGATAAGCTAAATGAGGCAGCACTTTTTTTAATGCTCTCTCAAACACGTCAAAAGCCCTCTCTCCTTTCCTGGGTAGAATCTCCAGGAGCTTATCAGCCGCATCTTCTCGCGTTTTTCTCGAACTCGCTTTAATTTCTTCCTCGTCTGTGGGGTCCAACACATCTACCAAATCTGGTAATAGCTTTATAGGTTCAAGATCCTTTCTTAGTGTGGGCCAGGTACGACGCAAAATATCCTGGTGTTTGGCACCCATACTAATATCATTTCGACTCGTATTTTTACCTGCAAGGAAATCGTTTATTTTAAATTTGGCCATAACTTCATCATCCCTTGCTTATTTATGTCAAGAACGACCTATCATAGGAACCGCCCAATAGACCATTTTGGAGTTGTTTTAAGCCTCTGTTTTAAAGAGAGGCCGAGTGTGAAACCATTGATATGAAAAGGATTTTTTCTCATGCGAATAAATCTCATTTCCTCAATAAAGGTTTTATATTTAGCCTAGTTTTGAAAGTTAAAATATTTTGGAAGTCGGAAATGCCCTATTTCCACCAGCTTATGGGGTGTCCGCAGACTCGGGGCCCGGGCCGGGGTCTATCTTTTTTTTTGAAGAATGCTGTTTTAGGATTAGGGTTCGGGTAACAAGTCAACCATAACCCTCACCCTAAATCAGCATTCTTTTAAAAAAGATTGACCCCGGCCCCCGAGCCGGCGTTTATACTGACACCCCAACTTACGCCTGTCGGGTTACAAAATTAAACTTCTTTGAAGAAAATTAACCACTATTAATATTAATTACTGATGTTCGTAAGAGCTCCTGTTAGGGTGTTTGTCGGGCAGTAGACAAACTAAAGGAAGGAAGTATCTACGAAAGGGATCTAACTTATATACGTGGGAAGCAAAACATGAAAGAAAATCATTTGTGCTGGTTACCTTGAAAGTCACTCTCCCCAAAGTCTGATGCAGAACTGCTTCTTTCATGACTAGTGCTTGGACCGTTGAAATTTATGTCACGCATCTCGTTCAAAAGCTGTTTTGTTTCTACCGCAAAAATAATCACATGCGCATGTCATTAGTTAAGCTACTTTTTTATACTATACTGGATAGCTATTGCGTCGAGCGAGACGAAAATCCCATTATACCGGATATAGGGCTGCAGTGCTCACATATAATAGCGGTGATTTCGCTGCGTTTTTTGTAACGGAGCGAAACTGCGCCGCGTTGCCAGTTGCATATCGAATAGGTTTCTGTCACACTCGTTGTAGTTCTGTACCGTAGCTGTTCACATCGTCGTTCATGTCAGCATGAAAAGCTATCCGGTATCAGTTTGATCATACAGTAGCGGATCCAGACCTTCAGATAGGGGAGGGGGGAGGCTGGTCATCCAGACCCAGAGAAAAGGGGGGGGGGAGGGAGTATCCAAAAAATTTTTTTCCGCCCTTCAGGCCTCAGTTTGGTCTAAAAATAAGGGGGGCCAGACCCCCCCAGGCCCCTCCCCTGGATCCGCCACTGACATAGCCTAAGGTTGGTTGTGTTGGATGTGAGAGTTGCGCCCTATTTCATTTACTTCATCGGGGTGTCTTCGAGTCTCTTCTCTCTGATTGATACTACGACTTGTTTCTATAAAAATCAGTAAAATATCAGGCAAAGTGTTTGTTTAAAGGGAAAGATCAAAACCCTCACAGATATTCAGGGTTGCTGTTTTTGAACTCGTAAGCTTGTCCCTCAAACAATAATAATAATAGTAATAATAAGAACTAACATGGGCTTATGTACAAATTGTTCTAAGCGCTTTACCCTTCTCAACCTATGAATGTTAAATCATTAAATGAAAACTGACTAACAAAAACTACTTAAAATTATTAGATGTGTTCTTAGCTTTATCTATAGCGCGCAGATGGAAGTTCGTTCCATAGCTATGGACCACAAACAGAAAAGGACCTCAGTCCGGATCCATACAGAGGCAGGTTCAGTCTTATCCCATCAGTTAAGAAGCGCAATCTATAAGGCTTGCCGACGTCCATAGTCTTGTAAATACTTAGGGGCTATTCATTAATATATTTAAAAGTAAGCAAATTTATATTATAAACTATTCTCAAGTCTACTAGCAGCCAGTGAAGCTCTTTCAAAACAAGAGTAATGTGAGCATTTTTTCCCAGTCTAACAATAATACGTGCAGCAACATTCTGAACGTTCTGCAACCTCGGCAACCAATGCAAATGCTTAGGTGCACCATACCGAAAAAAAAACAATGAGTTACAATAGTCTATTTTCGATATGGAACTAACGCAACAACTAAATAAGTTTTCGCTGTATCAAAAGATAAGTATTGCTTAATTTTAGCAATGTTATGTAGGTTGTAAAAAGCAGATGTAACTATGGCATCAACATGTTGGGATAACGTCATTTTAAAGTACTGTCAAATATAACACCAATGTTCCAGGCATGTTCAGAAGGATATATGGCCTTTGTGTCATTTCCAACAGTGAGTGATGTCAGCTAGGAAGAGCAAAAATATGCCTTTGGTCTGTTGCCAAAAGAAAACGAAGCTTTCAAATATCGAGCTTTACTTATACTCTTCCAACTGTGATAAACGACGGTCACATTTTCAAACTGAACCGATTGAGTTAAAAACCGACTTTCAGAAGGCACAGCATCATATTATCATGTTCCTACCAAGGGCGTCATAGAACCCAAAAATCAGTGGATTTATTTCAAAAATGTATGTTGCATACAGCTAACCTTGAGTTCCGAAACGCACTGAAACCACACAACTGTACGGAGATACACTGTGAGCGGTGGTTTCTCTCTTTCATGGCATTTAGCGTTTATAAAGTCGTTCGGGCGCGTCCCTTGTCAGTCGCGGCGTTAACAAACCAACTACGCAACTGACAAGCGAATCGAACGACTTCGTAAACGCTAAAAGTCGTGCATGCCAGAGAGAAAACTCTGCTCGCGGTCTAGTGCGGAGATATCAGCGGTCAAGGAAAATGATTATTACTGACTTTTACACGATTTTGAGCAGACATACCTATGAAAAGGACAACAAACTCAACACTAGGAAGACACTTGCACTCAGTCTGTCGCATAAGCAGCATAAGGTGCTAAACTTACACATTTTTCCTCGGGGGAATATAAACTCTACACAGCAAAATTTCGTCTGATCTGGTTCATTATTAGCAGCTATGTCAACGGGCATTACGATGCGAACTTGAGGGATCTCCTTGAGAATCTATTCGGCTGTTCTTCACCGGTCGCACGCAGCGCATTCTCCTCTGAAGTGGTGTTACTCCATTTTGCGATAGAAGTTACGTGAAGTTACTGTAGATCTCTTTGCAGCCTTAATCTGTGCCAATTCAAATATTGTTTGTTGCAAAGGCAAAATAATTCGCTGATCACGTTGAAGTGTTGAAATTTCAATGACAGGTTAATTGCTGGAGGGCGGATCAGCGGCATCAGAGACTTGTCTCCGGGCTCCGCCAGAGTTGACTTACACAAAAATTTAAAATAGATTTATTAATTTGTGTTTCGTACCTTCAAAGCAGCCTTCCCCAGATCCTGATGGAGAAGTTCTCTTCCCATGGCTCGGGTTTGGACTCTTCAAGTTTTTTTGTTCATTCATTTTTTCCAAATCTTCTTCCCATTTCCGTGACCGTTCACTTTCTTTCAAAATTAACTGCTGTTCTAAGTCATTACATTTTTTTAAAAGATCTTTCCTCATCTCTTCAGAACTCTCTATCTGTTTTTCTAAATCATGGCACTTGTTAGCATATTGATTTCTTTTCCTTTCAGCAAGCTGTAATCGATTGTTCACATCCTCCAGTTGGCTTTTTAACTCCATCGTCGTTTTTCCAGACTCGTCCTCCTTTTCGCTTTCCGCTTCTTCGCCCTCAGAGGTCATTGTTTCTTCCACTCCTTCTCCAGAAAGTCGCTGTCTTTCTACAGAAAAAAAAATTCCCAAAAAAATAGATACAAAACTGTTAGATAACGTAAGACTCTCATTGGTAGTTGTCGCTATTCAAATTTAATTTCAATGTCTTAATTATAATGGTGAAAAATCCAGTTTCTTTCTTCTTTCTCTTGTTAAATTTTCTTCACCTCCTTTTCTTTGTATTTGCCTTTCAGTCCTATTTTTCCCCTTTTTCTTTCTAACTGTGATTTTTGGTATGTTTTCGAACACCCTGCTAGAAAATTCCAAAGAATTCAGCCAGTCGTCTTTTAAAGTCTGCCCGGGATTCTAGACTAGCAAATGGTCGTGTCATTGCTGGGCCTCCAGCCAACAATCGTTTTGCAGAATCGTCTAGCTGGATTTTGAGACCGTTACTGCCATAGACTTCTTCCGTCAAGCAGTCGTCCCCCGCGTTTTGTTCAGAATTTATTTTCAAATTAGCCAATATAAAAATCAAGAGTGGCGAATATGTTTTTTTATCCCTTGCCTCCATTCTTTCCCCTCAATCTCTCTATTTCCTCTTTGATTCTTTTTTCTTTTTAAGGGTGATTTCTGACAAAAAGGCTCTTTCCGTTATAGCATGTTACTTGGGACAGGGACTGGAATTAATTGCATTCGTGTATGTTGCAGTTAATTTTTTATTTCGGTTAATTTTAATTTTTCCTATGTTTGAAATTCGTTAGGATACATTACCATACCGAAAAAACAATGGAAAAATAAAAATTAACTGAAGTAAAAAATTAACTGCAACATGTACAACATGATCATGATGTTTATTTATTATTCATATGCTAACTGGCAGACAGATTAGCAAGTCTACTTTGTCATAGATCGCTTTTACGTCTCACACTGGGTATAGTGCAGAAACCCGGCTAGCACAAGCTCTTTCAAAGCAAAGTATTTTTAAAGAGGCCAATTTGAAGCCAAATTCAAAAATGGGTCTCAAGTGAAGATACATGTAGAGAAATTGAACTGACTACTAGCAGCAAAAACCTTGTACAGCTGCTGGACAGTCCAGTGTAAGCCAAAGTTGTCTCTGAAATAGAAGTCGTTACTTTGCTTTGCGCTGGAGTGGTTTATACTTTCGAATAATTTTTTTCTTTGCTAATTTATTTGTTAGCCTTTTTTGTGTTGCTTTTTTTCTTGTATTCTTAAATCTGCTTAAGAAGTTTAATAAAAGAGAAAAAGGTGAATTGAAGTGTTAAATCCACGTCGTCTATGTGCGCGCTAACTCCTTGCTTTCGGGGTGCATGTTAGGCTCCCTAATCTGTTGAGCCGCAACTCGTTCCGTTCCTCAGGAAATGAACATCTATTATTTTGGTTTGTATTTTCAGAGTAACAAACGCCTCTAGAAGAGATCTTTACCTTAATTACTTAATTACACTTACCTTCTTTCAATAACAAGGTAGCCAACCATTGTTTCTTTTTTATTATTAGTCCCTCGACAAGCGCTAGGAAAGCATTCGGGCCCCTTCTCTGCAGCGTGAATAGTAAAGCCTTACTCTTTTCCTTACGTGGTTTTATCGAATCCATTTCATCGATGTCATCTCTGGTGATGATGTCTTCTTGGTATAAAAAATTCATCAGCGGATTTGGGTCTAAATCTTCCAAGAGTACCTCGAAATTCTTTTGGATGATTTTCTTTTGTCCTTTCTGCATAGTTACGTCCGTTTCTTCAATTTCTTAATTCTTTACCTACAAAACATAATACAAAAGAATACAGTTACCTAACATTAATATTACGGCCAAAACGTTTTATCGAATTCCTTTTTACATATAAAAGATTACTGTTAGTCATAGGTTAGATCACGATGTAGTCTCGGTTATCATTTAGTAATACATTCTTAAGCAACGATTGTTTTTTTAACGTTAAGCTGACCCTAGATGGTCAATGGGCTTAACGTCTATTGTCTAACATTATTGTAGTTTTATTTCTACTTTTTCCCAGCAACATTTAAATTTTAATCATCTAATTAATCATCTTTACTCAACCCACCTCGATCAGCCTGGAGAGTACTGCGGGTGCATCGAGACACCTAAGCCCTGGAGACTCTCAGAGCCTAGATTCACACTTAACTGACCGAATTTCCATTTTTTTTTTTACGTGCAGTTGAATCTGCAATAACGTTAACAATTTTTTGGTTGTATCGCAATGGGCTTTGATTATAATAAATAAATAAAGATTGCGGATGTCTTTCTTTCGTGGCCATTTTGAATTTTGTGGTGAGCTGGTGCGAAGTCTAGAGCCGAGAATATATTCTTCTCGAGCCGTACTGATCACTCATAATGTGTCACTTCATTATACTGGGCAGGCGATCTTCGAAGAGATTTCCAACTTTCCTACTGTCCTAGACCCTTAGAATGTCTCACGCGATTGCAGCCCTCGCAACAACCGAGAAGAAACGCATTTCACGCGTCCTTATTTATAAGTAGTATCTATTATCTGATAAATTTCTGTTATGAGAAGCTCTTGTATTTTGTTCTAAAGTCATTTATGTTTACTGTTTGCTGAGTCTGTTGCTAGGTGTAGCCTAGCCCTGTTCCAGACTGTTCAAAGAAAGAGGTTTTTACAAAACTATTGCGGCCGACAGTCCACTCAGACTTACCTTATATTGCAGTCATTCAAAAAAATGTACTTAACCTATAGCTAGTGACGTGTGAACTAGAAATCATAAACCATGGGGAATGTATACATATATACATGCACGAAGGCTCTTAAGACCTGCTGATTAACAATGTCAGAGAAACATTTGTATCAATTCCGGGCTATCAATGACCTGATGCGAAATGATTTTGCGGTCTTACCGGTAATTTCTCTTTTGGTTACTTATGATCTCGAACTAACCGTTATCAAACTGTTTTCTGTTGGGGTACATTAGGGAACATAAACAAAGACGTTTTGGAGCGACGAACTCAACCGGAAGTGATGCATTTTTCCTTTCAATGATGCCTTGACGCTACTAAATGTATCTATTCAAGCCTCTTTACTCGCATAGAGATAATTCACCTGAACTGAATTTGGGCGTAAAAACTGCCACGAATGCGAAGAGTCCTCTTCCGGTTGACGTGCGTCGCACAAAAACGTCTCTGCTTAAGTTCCCAACTGTTTCACCACCACGGATGTATGTTGTTCCAGTGAATTTACATATGAGGTGAATCTACTGATTTTTATCATCTTAATCCCGCTTTGCGATGCTCCGAATCCGTGATTAATTTCCGAGCCTCGCTCTCTCTCTCCCTATAGTACGGCTTTAAGATTATCTAAGCGAGTACAAATGTAGTCCGGATAGGCTCATTAGATCACCCAACTGTACGTTAATAATAATTGTTCAGTGTTTCGAAATAGGAATGATTGATTCTTTTGAGATTCAGTATTCAGAGATCAGCGGTCACTTTTTTAACGACTCGTCAAAATTTCTTCAGCCACTGAACAGAATGTCCTTATAATAAGTATTCCGCCAGCCAACGGGTGACAAAAGTAAACCTACCTGTATCACGTAAACCAGCTTAAGTTTAATCCTTGGCAGAGGTCAAAGCCTTAATTATCAGTCTCAGAGACAGAGAAAACCTCGTTGAAAAGTGTTCAAGCTAGGCACCAGCCAGGCCTCTAGAATTTCTGCAACTGGTTACTGAATAGTATTAAGTGAAAGAGATTCAAGCTACGAATCGGTATTCCTGATTCCGTGATGCCTGATTCATGTGGTCAGAGGCAACATTCCTATGTAAATAACTCCTAACCTTATCTAACCCGAAAATTATGCTGCTCATTGAACAAGTCAAATTTGAACAAAAAAGATGCCACAAGGAACATTTGCATAAATAACATAAAAGCGGCCGAGCGTAAAAAGAATAGAATAGAATATTAAAAAGTTAAAAGGCTTAAGGCTTGTCCATAGTCGAAAGTGCACTTAGCTTGTCCAGCTAATTTACAGGCAATCCCTCAAATACTTAGAAACAAATAATGCAAATCAGACAACATAACAGAATTAAGACCGCAACTGGCTGGAGGCAACCAGTTGGCTATTTATAAGCGTGGCCGAGGATTTAAAGTCGGGACGACCGAGAACAAATCCAGCAAGTGGCCAGAGCGCGGGATTTGAAACCAGGACCGCCGGATCGGATTGCGAGTCCGAGGCGCTCACCACACGCTGCCAACAGAGTTCGAGTTACTGGAGTTCTACTGTACAACTACAGTGAGCTGGGGCGCTTCTTAGAATGCATTTCCTAGTCACGTAGCCCTAAATAGGTTTCTATAAGAGAGAGAAAATCGGTTGCTTGGTGTCCCTGAAGCATTAAACAATATGGCTCCATAACCATCATAGGTATTAAGGGAAATTGAAATCGCAGCTCGTATTACATGTAATGAAAAAAAAATTATATTGATATTGCATAAATAGTTGTCTTTCCTTGAATAAGAAGAGGAAAGGAGATAAAGCAAAAAAGTAAACGTCAAGACTGCTAGCAGACCTATCAGGGGCTGCCTTTATCTGAGGCCATTAAGCTCGGGTTAGGACCGGGGATGGACCATTGCAAAAGTGATGGGCTGAGTGGGGCAAAAGCAAAATATAAATTTCCTAAGGAAATTATTAATTAAAAAAATATTCCTACGGATTCTGGCCAAAACAAAATTATGCCCAAGGAGGAAAAAAAAAAAAGATTTCCACCTTATATGTACAAAAAAATTCTTGCATCTCTTAACATCCCACCACCCCCTTCCCCATGACTTTTCTAATGGTCCATACTTACCGAGAATCTTGGTCAAAATGAGCTCATTATGTGTAATGGCATGATAACGAGGCTTGGCTATTTTACTTAGTAAAAAGGAAACCGTCCTAAAATTTTCGGGTTCAAAAATGTGATGGAGAGAGGAATTAGAAAAATTCTCACTTTCACGTAAAACGTTAACTTGCATCTAAACTTTTCGTTAATAAAAACTGAACTGAAGTCCTAATAATTTCGAAAAAACTTAATTGGCCCAGGATTACCGAAAGCATACAAATTTTATTGCGCCACTGAGAATGCATTTCTGAGTCTAAAAGTACTCTAGTAAGTAGAATGTACAAAAAAGCTTTTTATTATCATGGATGTGAAGTTTTTAATCATAATTTGTAGTTTTTATCAATAGTTTGTAATAATTTTTATCCTTTTTTCAGGATATTTTTCTATTAGCTTAGTTAGGATTAGTTTTAAGTATTTTTAACATATTTTTTTTATTTTTCTTTTCTTTTTTTATCTAGGGCCTCTACATCCTCGGAGACCCAGGGGCAGATATTGGGGGCGAGAGAAAGTCTAAACGGGCGGGAAAATATGGCCCAATCAGAAGGCAGAACGGCGGTGACCGTTTGGAACTGGTCTGGTAAGACATTGTCCCCAGGGGCTCTTCTCGCCGTTCTTTACTTTTCTTCATGCCATATTTTCCAGCCCGTTTAGACTTTCCCTCGCCCCCACTATCTGCCCCTGGGTCTCCAAAGATGGGGCCTCTAAGGATATCAGTTTTTGTAACTGTAGGAGTTACCCTAGCTAAATAAAAGTATCTTCTTCTTCTTCTTCTTCTTCTTCTTCTTCTTCTTCTTCTTCTTCTTCTTCTTCTTCTTCTAGTGGATAGCCAAAACAGTGTTTTCAATTTTCAACATTCAATTGGTGCCCCTGTTCATTTAAAGCGAGCTGCTCGCCATTGTACCTTGTTCTCAAGTCGGATAAGATGTCACCCTTCCCGTAAGGATCCCAGTCGGGCTATTCAACTGAGTGCGGTCTTACCAGGGTCTTATATAGACAGTGCTCTTGATGTAGGGTGAACATGATTTCAGGTCACGGCGCAGTTATCCAATAATCTTATTCGCTCTGGTGGTGGGTATGGTGAGTCCAGTCTAAATCGTTAGACAAATCAACTCCTATATATTTTTGTTTGGTAGACACCTCTAGAGTGTGTCTTGTAAGTAGCAGTTCCTATAGATTGATTCTTGCGAAACATGTGAAGAACATAACACTTGGATTTATTAAATTCCATCTGCCATTTGCTCTCTCAGTCACATAAAAGTGACAGATCTTCTTCCCCAAATTCGTGATTCTACAGACAAGACAGCCGGGGGGGGGGGGGGTCCCCCTGGGAATTCTTGGGGGGGGGGGGCCGCCCCGTGTTGGAACTCCTACCCCCATTTCAGCCCACCCCCCAGAATGCTATTGCTTTTTCCCCATTTACCTTCCCGGGCACAGTTTCACACTACGCGCCTACATACTGCAAAAAAAATGGGGGGGGGGGGTACTCCTGGGAATTCTTGGTGGGGGTGTGACGCCCGATGTTCGAAATCCTGACCCGATTTCAGACCATCGCCCAGAATGCTATTGTCTTTTGCGACATGTACTTACAGTGCATAGTTTCTCAATGTGCGGCATAATAACTGAATAAATAACCTTTCGAAAACGGCTGAAGACCGACTACTCTCGTAGAATCGGTAGCTGTCAATCACTGTACCGGGTAAATGCGTAAAGTGTATTAGATCTGACTGCGTGCGGCGGCCAGACAAATATTTATCAAATGGCAAAAGAAATGAGCGGAACACTTACCTCTATTTCATCCTTGTGTTTCAGTTTCGTAAACCGGTCAAAGCAGCTCATATAAAAGACGCGCTCTTTTACTCGATTGGTCGGCCATTGCGTTGGGCGCGGAGTTAAAAATAATAGAGTTGTTCTATTTGTAAGGCGAAGGAGGTGAAGTAAATGCAAGAAAGAATATTATTCTCTCTTGGTATATGACATTTCATTTTAACATCAACGAGTCGGTTAACATTTAAAAAGCTAGCGCCGCGTCTTTCTTAATGCTTGAAGGAACATTGTGTGACATAATTATTCAAATTTTGATCCGTTTCGATCTATTAATATGCAGGCGGGGGTTTCAAACCAAGTCGCGCGTGTCCTCGGGACTTACGAACGTGTGCGAGCAGGACTGCTTTAGAAATTGACGAAAAGCCAGAACTTCCTAACAACGTAATCGTACCAAACTTTCAGAGAGTCTTCCTTAATGGTCAAACTAACACACCCGTTTTCAGACCAGACCTCTAGAATCCATACCCGTTTTCATACCTGGCCTTCAGGCAGAACTTATGTTATCATTACTTAGATTAGAGCGCAAACAAACAAATTCATCAAACCCATTTCGAATTGGCATATTTCTCTTTCTTTCTTACTCATTCGGAATTGAAACGATAAATACGTTCATACATTCCCGTAGTTCCCCCGAAAACCATACCCGATTCCAGACCAAAATGGGTAAAGTGTATACCCGTTTTCAGACCAAAAGGGCGCAAAAACCCTACCCGATAGGGCGGGACACACCTGTATAACTTATATAAGGGAGTACCCCCCCCCCCCCCCCCCCCCCCCCCCCCCAAACCCCACCCCCAAAAATACCCACACACCACTCCCCCCCAACCAACAACCGTATATCCCCTTTCTCCTTTTATTTTTTCTTACTTACAAGTCTTATCTAATACACAACCTTCCTTACTCTTTCTTCTCTGCGTCTTAAATACCCTCTGTTGGTTTTAACACTGCTTTTTGTGTCCGCCC